CCACAAACAAAAACGGTGCCTCCTTATTGATATGGCAGTCCCTGCTGACTGCAATGTATCTTTGAAGATATTCAAAAAGTTGTCAAAATACAAGGACCTTGAAATAGAAATCTCGAAAATGTGGCATATGGGAACATCAACAATCCCTGTTGTAGTTGGAGCCCTAGGACTGGTTGGAAAAGATTCCAGTAGACTAATTGAAGGGATTCCTGGAAGTCCATGCCTCAAGGAGATACAAAAAATTGTTCTGACAAGTACAGCCCACACTTTACGAAGGGGCTTTATCTATGTAATTTTTTTTTTTTTTTTTGTCAGTGGAAAGTGTCATCAACGCCATTTCTAATAATAATAAAGTATGATGAACCCAAAATATGAATATATTCATAGAAATAAAAGGTAGCGACATAAATGCCAGGAAAATCAAAGAAAATAAAATCGAAAACCACTAATAGATGGTATGAGCACCAAACAGACAAATTTAGCCAAAATAAAGATATAACTATTTATTCTCTGGGGCGTGCCAATTCAAACTGACTGGGAAATAAAAGCCAACGGTTCTGATATTATCATAAAAGCAAGAAATTCAGGAAGTGTATGCTTCTTGATATAGCAGTACCATCTGAGAGAAACACCTCCATGAAAATTATCAAGAAATTGTCCAAATACAACGATCTGGAGACCGAAATTAACAGAATGTGGGGAATGAAGATTGAGACTGTACCGATAGTAGTCGGAGCACTGGTCCTCGTGAGAAAAGGAAGAGACAATTTTACTTAACAGTGTCCTATGGTCTGGGACATTGTTAGGTAAAATTGTCCCAGAACATGCAACATACAAGTTACCCAGATGATCGCCCTATTAGGAACATTCCATATGCTAAGAAAAGTGCAATCAATTAAATAACAATTCTCCTATAGGGCCTAAGGACCATAGTTTGGACCCGGCTCTACAGGATACAAAGCAGGAAACATACCATACACAAATAATAATAATAATAATAATAATAATAATGACAAAACAACAACTTATTTTGAACTGCAAATATCCAGTTGAAATGTGCTTTCTGTCTGAAGTCAAATCGACTTTATAGCGACAATCAATAATGGAAGATATTCAGTATAATTTAATACTATCTATAAGTATATATATATATATATATATATATATATATATATATATATATATATATATATATGTGTGTGTGTGTGTGTGTGTGTGTGATTAATTGCAAACTATACTTTTTGAAATGACCTATGTTGGGGAATTTCCAAGTTTTCTACTGAAATCCAGGAAAATTGGAACTTTAAGCAAATGGTAACAATATGTGGGGAAAAAAGAAAAGGTCAGTTTGACTCGACGCCAGGAGTATACGGCTTTTGAACCACGCCCCACTTTTTCTTTTCCTCCCGTTCCCTGTTCGATCCAATTCTATGTTCGATGAGAACTTGGAGAAACCATGTTTGCATGACTACCCCGCCTTTTTCTAAACAGTAGCTGTTACCCTAGAAGCATCTCTGATAGAGCCCAATCAAAATTGATGTGTTGAAAATCGTTGAGTGCACGACGACTTATAAATACATTTCTATATTTGTAAATCATTTGCACCAGTTGGACTCCGTGTCTATCACGTAAAGCTGTACAAACTACCGCGTAGGCTATGGCTCTATAGACCAGAAGGACCGTAAAGAGTTAATATGCAACAAAAATCATACGCAGAAAGATGAACATAAACTTAAGAATATTTGGTTAGCAATGAGTTACCTAGGCTTTGGTTATAATCACTCTTTTTAAATGATAATTTAATGAGGAAAATTCCACGTGCCATGGATGTCAGTTATCTCCTTTTAATTCACCTCTACTAAGTTCTCCACTGCCTTAACCAGGTATTGAACTCGAAACTCTTTGGATCTTGTCACTGGATTTAACCAACGCTTTTACCCACTGTGCCATGTGTCCTTCTTTTAAAAGTTTAGCTTCCATTTTTGAAACATGGTTAGAACTGTGTAGCGAAAAAACATATTTTAAATCAATTAATTTATAATATTAATGCTCTGTAAATTTGCATCGAGCACTATTTTGTAAAAATAAAAATATCTATAAGAACACCGGATTATATATCTTACTGTTCTTTCTTTCTTTCTTAAGCATCATTTGATGCCGGTAAGTGTTACGGAGAGAGATGGGAGATTTTGTGCATCATTTAGTGTCAGCGTTTTGAGATAAAATGGTGGGTTCTGTGGGTGTTGAATAAACACAAATGCGCCTGAGCAAGCGTCTGCAAGCAGGGATTGGCTAGCCGCCTATCTTTGAACAAAAGTGGCCATCTATAAATTTATATATATATATATATATATATATATATATATATATATTATATATATATATATGTATGTATTAAGCTTAATACTGCTCTTCAATTGTAAATTTTAAATTCATTTTTCTTTTCGCCATTGAAAGTAAAGTTTGAAGATCAGAGAAAAATAAAATTCTCTGGTGAAATAAATTATAACTAATGGAGCTTTAAAAGTGGTCTGTTTTTTCTTTAAATTAAATTATTCGCTCTGTTTTAACATTAAAGCTCTCATGATTCCATCATCCTTTTTGATTATCATACGGATTACCAAGATTTTCGATATATATATATATATATATATATATATATATATATTTTTTCCCTATTTTAGTCACTGCGCATACCTGTTGTGCTAAACCCAAAAAAACAGTAGAATGAACTCTTCCTCCTCTCATAAATACTAACTGCGAGTGTCGGTGTGAGCAGAAAAGTAGATGCAGTGCTAACCTACCGTTTGGACGTACACTGCTATCTACTTATTACTAATACTCTAGCTTAGTATATATCTTTAATATACTTGTTCAACCTACTCTCTTCTTCCGTGTCTTTCTTTCTGACCCCTAAAGAGGTCACAACAAAACCTCGGTGAATTATTGTGCTCATTTTTACTTTTTCTTTTTTCCTTTTCGATTTATCGTAAGAAAAACTAATATTTTTTATTATAAGTATTAGTTTTGATGCTTGCGTTTAGCTTTAAAAAATGTATTTTTAATGGCGATAGTAAAATGTTGTACTTTCAAGAAAATATATGTTGTTCATTTAAGTTGTAGACTCTCCTGTCGAATATAATGCCACAATCTTAGTCAGGCTAGGGAAATTGAGGTACTTTTTAAATATAAAGAATTCAGTTGAGGCAAGGACTTGATGAAACTTATAGTTTGTGTCTGGTATGTTTATTAAAATTCAATTTTTAATTTTTTTTATTATTTTAACTATTTTTTTTAGCCAATCCCTGCTTGCAGACGCTTGCTCAGGCGCATTTGTGCTTACTCAACACCCACAGGGCACCTGTGGTTTATACTGCAAGTATGCATTTTAATCCAGTAAATTTATTACCATATCCACTCAGGACAGGCGTTCATGACGCTCCCCTCTTTCTTTTAATACGTTTGAATTGTCATAATATCTTGGAAAATGATACTCAAGTGTCCTCTCGTTGTCTTTTTCTCAGTTTTTAGTTCTTCTCCTAGACTGGCTACCAATCAAGATTAAATAGTTCAATCACTGTTTTTTTTTTAACCCATAACCTTGGAGAAAAAAGAGATTCAATCTTTTCATATGTATGAAAGTGAATGCAACAGACTAGCCAGGATTTGAACTCAGCGAGTATAACAGTAACGCTATCTACCCATACCTGTTTAAAACTACTTGCAGTATTAAATAAAACAACTTTGGTTACCTTAGAAGGATTTAAAATTTTTTGTTTATTACCATTTTATTTATTGCCCTTTATTTACTTTTTTATTATTTTATATTTTCTTTATTTTATTTCAATCCGAGATATATAAAGAAACCCCGTCTTTCTATATGGCACGGAAAACCCCCAAAAAACGAGTCGACCTAAACATTGTAAATACAATATCAAATACATGAAGGAAATATTCAATTTTCCTAACATTAATAACGTTGCTTCAAGCTATAGAAAGCATAATGTTCGTATAATGTCATTGATGCTTGAATAAATTCTTGGAATTTTATACAATCGCTTTCTTCTTTACAATGCATTATCAAATAATTTTCCAGTGCATTTTATCTCAAAACGCTGACACTAAATGATGCACAAAATCTCCCATCTCTCTCCGTAACACTTACCGGCATCAAATGATGCTTAAAATACCCCACTTCTCTCAATAACACTTATAGACATCAAATGGTACTTAAAATACCTCACTTCTCTCGCTAACACTTACTAGCACCAAATGATGTTTAAAATATCTAACTACACTCGGTAACACTAAATCTCACCAAAAGCTGCTTAAAATACCCCGCTTCTCTCGGTAACACTTATTGGCACGAAATGATGGTTAAAATACCCAAATTCTCTTGTTAACACTAAATGGCACCAAATGATGCATAAAATATCTCACTTCTCTCGGTAACATTAAATGGTACCAAATGATGTTTAAAGTACTGCATTTGTTTTAGTTAGATTAATAGGGACTAAATGACGCTTAAAATACCAGCACTTCTCTCGGTACTGCTATATGACGCTAAATGATGTTTAAAATACCCCACTACTCTTACTAACAGTAAATGGTACAAACGATGCTTAAAATAGCCTACTTTTCACAGTAACACTAAATAGCAAGAAAAGATGCTTAAGATATCCCAACTCTCTTGGTAACACTAAATGACACTAAATGATGTTTAAAATACCCCACTTCTCCCAATAACACTAAATGGTACCAAATGATGCTTAAATTATCCTACTTCTTTCGGTAACACTTACTGGCAGCAAATAATGCTTACAATACGCCAATTTTCTTGGCAACACTAAATGGCACCAAATTATGCTTAAAATACCTCACTTCTCTCTGTAACATTTACCTTAGTTCCAGCTTACTGATGATCCTTCTTGTCCTTGTTACTATTTCCAGTAAAAAAATTTCGGAATGCATTTTTTACAGAAAAATCAAATCCAAAGAATTTAGAGAAAAACATAAACAAGAAAAGAAAAAAGATAAACAAAAAAAAGAAAGAAATAAAGAAAGAAGGAAAGGAAGGAAGAAAGAAAAAGAAAGAAAGAAAGGAAGGAAGAAAAAAGAAAGAAAGAAAGTAAGAAAGATAGAAAGAAAAATACAAAAAACTAAAAAAATACAAAAAAAGATAAACAAAAAAAAAGAAAGAAAGAAAGAAAGAAAAATACAAGCAAAGAAAGAAAGAACGAAAGTAAGTATCAAATATTAGCTTTTAGAAATGTTATGATGTTGATTTGGGGTCAGTAAAGACAAAAGCCAAATAACACGTAACAATAAAAAGGGTTTTAATAGGTTGGTAAAAAGGTACAGAAATCGCCTGAGTAGTCAATAACTAGCTCAGCTAAGAACTTCTCGGTCTATCTGTCTTAGTATTTATCGATCCACCCACGAGAATCGAATATGGCACAAGGCCGGTTTTAATGTGGGTATTCCCGAGCCCGTAGGCTCGGCCAAAAATATAGCCTTTGAACCCGCCTAGACGGGTTCAGGCCCTGTCTACCTCCCCGGACGAAACCTTGCCCTTCGGCAAAGCTTCGTCCGGGTTCCTCTCTGCGTTAGCAGAGAGTTCGACAGAAGGCGTGCGCAGTCAGAGACTGTATCACGAGTCAGATAGACCCGGAGGTCTATCTGTCTTCTCCCATGTCAACTGACATGCCACTATTTAAAGTCTTTGTTCACAGACGCAGACAAGTTCATCTTCAAGAGGGGTGGCAGGTTTCCGACACAACAAGAAAGCAGAAAAAAGTGCTGAACTTTTATTTAATATCAATTCAAACTATTTTTGTCTTACTAGTTTTGAAGCAAATGTTCCGTAATCTTTGAACCGGTTGTATTCATGTACCCATGCAAATTGCCCACATTGCCCTTGTACGCGTTGACTGGTCCGTGCTTTCAACCTTTGACCCGTTCGACATGTATAATCAGCATCATTCTGACCTTTGAACTGGCAAATTAAAGGAATGATATGATGATTTTTTTTCGTTTTTTAACATGTCCGTTTTTATAGCTTTAATGAAATGTATTTGGGTAAAGAAGAAAATGTTGCAAGGGAAATGACAAAGAGAAAGAATAAGAGGTTGGTGGAAATATTTTGGATAAATGATTGAAAATTGCTAGAGAAATAGAGAAAGTTTAATCAGGAAGATGACAATGATTTGGGTAAATTATGAAAGAAAATCATGCAGGTGATACAGTTTGAGAAGGTGAACAAAGTATTGAAAGAAAGAAAGAAAGAAAGAAAGAAAGAAAGAAAGAAAGAAAGAAAAGGCAAAAAGGAAGGAAGGAAGGAGAGGGACCAAACAAAAGAAAGAAAGAAGGAAACAAAGGCGGGAAGGGAGGGTGGATAAAAGAAGAAAGATAGAAAGAAGACCAAGACAAAGAAGGAAATAAAAAAGGAGAGAGAGGGTTAAAGAAAGAAAGAAAGAAAGAAAGAAAGAAAGAAAGAAAGAAAGAAAGATGGTGAGTAAATAGAAATAAAGAAAAAAATAAATAATGAGTGGTGGTAAATAAAAAGAAAGAAAGAAAGAAATAGAGGTTGGAAATAAAATGAAACGAAGAAAGAAAGAAAGAAAGAAAAAAAAAAAGAAAGAAAGAAAGAAAGAAAGAAAAAGTGGTGAATGGATATAAAAAAAAAGAATGTAAGTATGAATGTATAGATTTCATAGAAAGTAAAAGAAGACATGAAAAAGCAAGAAAAGAAAACGAGAAATTGAAAAGAAAATTTTCAGATTCACTGACCAATTTTGTTTTAAATGAAGAGAGGGGGAAAGAAGAGTGGAAGAACGAAGAGAGGGGGAACGAAGGAATGAGGAGAGGAAGAAAGAAAAGAGGACAAACGAAGAGAGGAGGAACGACGAGAAGAGGAAGGAAGAGAGGGGGAACGAAGGAATGAGGAGAGGAAGAAAGAAAAGAGGACAAAGGAAGAGAGGAGGAATAAAGAGAAGAGGAACGAAGAGAGGGGGAACGAAGGAATGAGGAGAGGAAGAAAGAAAAGAGGACAAACGAAGAGAGGAGGAATGACGAGAAGAGGAACGAAGAGAGGAGGAACGAAGAGAAAAAAAGAAGTTAGAACGAGAGAAGAGAGGAGAAAAGAAGAGGAACGAAAAGATAAAGGAAAGACGAACGAAAGATGGACTAAGAGAGGAGGAAGAGAGAGAGTAAAATCGAAGAGAGAAAACTGTTGAACGAAAAGAGAAGGAACGAAGAGAGGAGGAACGAAGGGAGGAATAAAGAAGAGAGGAGGAAAGAAGAGTGGAGGAACAAAGAGAGGATGAATGAAGGGAGGAGGAAAGAAGAGAGGAGAAAAGAAAAGAAGAGGAAAAGAAAAGAAGAGGAACGAAGAGTAGAGGTACAAAGAGAGGAGGAACAAAGAGTGGAGGAATGAAGGGAGGAGTAAAGAAGAGAGGATGAAAGAAGAGAAAGAACGAAGAGAGGAGGAAAGGAGGAAAGAAGAGAGGAGGAACGAAGGTAGGAATAAAGAAGAGAGGAGGAAAGAAGAGTGGAGGAACAAAGAGAAGAGGAACAAAGAGAGGATGAATGAAGGGAGGAGTAAAAAAAAGAGGAGGAATGAAGGGAGGAGGAATGAAGGTAGGAGTAAAGAAGAGGGGAGAAAAGAAAAGAAGAGGAAAAGAAAAGAAGAGGAACGAAGAGTAGAGGTACAAAGAGTGGAGGAATGAAGGGAGGAGTAAAGAAGAGAGGATGAAAGAAGAGAAAGAACGAAGAGAGGAGGAAAGAAGTGAGGAGGAAAGAAGGGAAGAGGAACGAAGAGGTACGAATAGAGGAAGAACGAATAAAGTAAGAACAACGAAAGGAAGAAAAAAGAGTGAATGAACAAAGGAATGAAGAGAGGAGGAAAGAAAAGAGAAGTACGAAGAGAGGACGAACGAAGAGAAGACGAAGAGAGGAGGAACAAAGAGGAGAAGGAAAGAGGACAAGAGGACGAAGAGAGGAGGAAAGAGAGAACGAGCGAAGACAGGAGAAAAGAAAGAAACAAAGAAAGAAAGAATCAAAGGAGACCGAACGAAATATTTACAAAGAGAGGGGGGCGAAGAGAGTAAGAACGAAGAGAGGAGGAATGAAGAGAGGAGAAAGAAGGAAAGAGTAAATAAGAGAGGAGAAAAGAAGAGGAAGAACGAAGAAACGAAGAGAGGAGGAATGAAGAGAGGAGAAGAAAAAGAGTAAATAAGAGAGGAGAAAAGAAGAGGAAGAACGAAGAAACGAAGAGAGGAGGAATGAAGAGAGGAGAAAGAAGGAAAGAGTAAATAAGAGAGGAGAAAAGAAGAGGAAGAACGAAGAAACGAATAGAGAGGAGGAATGAAGAGAGGAGAAAAGAAGGAAATTTTAAATAAGAGAGGAGAAAAGAAGAGAAAGAACGAAGAAACGAAGAGAGGAGGAACGAAGAGAGGAGAAAGAAAGAAAAATTTAAATAAGAGAGGAGAAAAAGAAGAGGAAGAACGAAGAAACGAAGAGAGGAGGAATGAAGAGAGGAGAAAGAAGGAAAGAGTAAATAAGAGAGGAGAAAAGAAGAGGAAGAACGAAGAAACGAAGAGAGGAGGAATGAAGAGAGGAGAAAGAAGGAAAGAGTAAATAAGAGAGGAGAAAAGAAGAGAAAGAACGAAGAAACGAAGAGAGGAGGAACGAACAGTAGAACAAACGAATACTGAAGGTGTGTCTGGTTGGGAGGGTAGAGATTTTGAAAGTTGATATTAGCCTTTTGTCTATTATTGATCAGAAGAGGAATTTTGATGTTGTCGGCAGCAGGATATGAAGGAGAGAGAGAGAGAGAGAGAGAGAGAGAGAGAGAGAGAGAGAGATGGGGATGTTGTCTCGGAAGAGACGCTGTGGTAGAGAGTGTTACGGGGGAAACGGGGAGTGGTGGGAGGTGCTTAAAAAACTCTTTGTGATGTGTAACGTAAGATCATGGCTTTATGAAAAACGTACGAAAAGCGATTACAACAACGACCACGGCAACAGAAAATAAACAAGGGATTAAATATATAAAATATCTGTTTCTGAATAATCTGCCATGTTTAGATCATTGTCGTGGACATAAGAAAAAAAAGCTAAAACCTTCTGAGAAATCGGTTGCCTCCTGTTCCTTCTCCTTCTTTTTCCACTTCTTCTTCTTCTTCTTCTTCTTCTTCTTCTATATTATTGCATTTTCCTTCAACTTCTTATAATTCGTTATTCCACTTTCTTTCTTTCTTTCTTTCTTTCTTTCTTCTTCCTTTCTTTCTTTCTTATTGCCCATTCTTTCTTTCTTTTTTTCTTTCTTTCTTATTGCTCATTCTTTCTTGCTTTCTTTCTTTCTTTCATCAAGCATTTCATTTTCTTCTTTATCATACTCTTAACTATTATGATCTTTCTTCATTTTCTTTCTTATTTTTGCATTCATTCTTCTTGTTGGTACACTTCCCTTTCTTTTTGAACTTCTTGATTATTATTATTATTATTATTATTATTATTATTATTATTATAGCCGCATTTTGTACTGACCTCAAACAAGGTTACGTATTTAAGCAAAGGTTACTTGACAAGACGAGAGTGTCGGCAAAACATTTTTTTTTTTCTTTTATTTCTAGGATTTATTTTTTTCTCGCGGTGATTTTTTTTTTTTTAGTTTCAATTTTTTTTATTGTCCCTTTGTTGTTGAAGCGTATTCACTATTTTTTTTCATCCTGTGCATAAGGACTGGCATGTCAAAAATATTTTGTTTGGGGGGGAAAAACTTGGGAGAGGCCATGATATAAGTCCCTATTTCGTTAACCTGATCGACGCGTGAAAGATAGAAAACATAAAAAAAAGAAAAAAAAGGAAAAAAAAAGAAAAGAAAAAAGAAAAGCAAAGTAAAAGTGTTAAAAAATGTTTAATGTTTCACCAAAGCAACAACTTAAGCCATTTTGTTTTGTTTTTTAGTTCAACTGTTTGGATCTTTCAGATTATTTGCAAATACAGTCAAGACGTGCAAAAGTTTCTTACACCGCCACCCCACAAACAAACGTATTTGTGTATCGTCTAATGCTGAGTGATAGCCTCAGGATTTTGTGCTTATATTAATCAAAGGTCTGCGGTTCAAAATATGTAAGCATAGTAGCCATAAACTTGGAAACAAATTCATCAAATGAAATTGTCACAAGTGGTATAGCTGATGATACACTTTTGATTATCATCAGGTAACTTTAACTAATACCTTGTCAGATTTACCTAATTCTCAAGTTTAAGGTTTGTTTCGTGCTTAAACGATCAAAATATTATTTCTACCTGGGCTGAAGTTATTCAGTCTTCATTTTGCAACCTCGATAGAGTTCAAAATTAGTCTAGTGGGGAAGCTTTACCACAGATTGTTCAGGTTATAACGTTAAACTATATCCGGCAGCAAGGCCCCTGTCCGGGAGGTTTTGAGGAGCGTGGAACCATCTTTTAATTGGTGTTGTTCCCACGTGTAGTATCGTATGCAAATTAGATAGACAAGTATAAATAGAGAACAATTGGCGAAAATAAGGTGGCTATGCCGAGCAAACCCAGGACACGGAGATCTGTACGCAGAGAGATTTGCAAAACGTAACACCATGTACAGCCTGAGCCGGAGTGTTAACACTTATTAGATTTCCAGCTAACAATCAAACTGAGGCCAAAGCACTATGAAAGTATAAAAATAGATTCTGTCTATATTTCTGAGATGAGGTATTATGTACATTATTTACATTATTAGGACTATTGTCCTCATCTTTGTCGCCATATTTATCACAACGTTTCGTACCTGAAGAAGGCCGGAGCGTACAACGGCCGAAACGTTGTGATAAACATGGCGACAAAGATGAGGACAATAGTCCTAATAATGTAAATAATATAAAAATAGATTTTTATAGTAAAAATACCAGCAATACATTTTTTGAAAAAATATTGCCAGCAATGCATTTGACTCTCGACAAAAACCCTCTTTACAAAAATATATCAATGAAATCTGATATACAAACTGATTTCTTTTAGAGAATACATATTCTGTTTGTATAAAACTATCCTAAAAATCTCGTCGGCATTAAATAACATATTGAGGTGTTGATACGCTTTAAGACAAAATAAACTAAACTAAAATAATTTACCACGGGTACAACGTTGCAACCCGATAGTGGTGGTTTCATGGGTTCAACGTTGATATCTACGTGCAGCGGTGTACTTGAAGGTGACTCTCGCGTCCAATACGGGACCGACAAAGACGTCCGCAATGCGGACAGAGAAACTGATCAGGGGGTTTGAGATCTTCTACTACTTTCTTCCTTTTTGCATGGCCTTCGTTTATGCTTTTAAGTTGGTTTGCCTCAGATGTCTCTGTTGCTTCGCGCGTCGGGGGACGCCATACAGTTCGATCCCGTGCGCAAGGCGGCTATTCTAGGGTGGATGATGTTGACCTTGATGCAGTCTTTGAAATGTTTCAATAATCAACCATGCTTTCTCTTTCTCTCTCTCTCTCTCTCTCTCTCTTTCTCTCTCTCTCTCTCTTAGAGAGCTCGCCATAGAGAAGTTGTCTTGGGAATTTGTTGAAACTTGACTAATGCATGGAATAATAATACAACACAAAATGTACTTAGAACAAAATGTATTGAAACAAGAAAGTGTACACAATATTTACATATAGTCTTTTGTATATTCTTGGGAAGACCGTTCCTGGAGAATGTGTTGACTTAGTCGCAGTCGGGCAGAGTCTCTGGATTGAATCTCTTGATTCCTCCTCTCGTCTTCCCGGTACCAACCATATTTATATGGTCGGTACTCCACTATGCAAATTAGGTGGATCCTACCACAACAGAATTCTATCATCGTCCATCCGGATGACATGTCCAATCAATTGTGAGTTGGGCTTTCAGGATCATGACTTCAATGGTGGTAATTTCCGCACGACCTAGGACTTTAAGATTTGTGATCTGATTCTGCCAGTCTAGGACTACGCTAGCGCTATTACCATGACCCCATTCTTGAGGACCACCAGTTCAGACCTTTACATCTCGAACACGCTTTACTGCTTCCACGGAATCAAATCATCCTCATTTCCCTCGTATTCCAAACGTAAAGAGAACTGCTCAAACAGCTTTTTCTACTTTGTGAAGTAAACTCCCGTGTGGAAGCTTCTCTAAACACTACAATCTAATCCGCTTAAAGCTAATTTCCAAATTTCCAATCTTTATCTATCCTCATGATATTCAATTCCAACCATTTTCTCTTTTATTCATATCGCAGACTTCATTCATAATGATCATTTTAGCCATAACCCTTTAGCTTGAGTGGTTATCGATGCTTGCATTGGGTGAATTTAGTATTAAAAAATATTAATTCTCAAAGTTTGGGACTGGTGAGTGGCAGAACCTTTGGAACTCTTGCCAAAACAATAAACTCTAAAAAAATTAAACATGTTATAAGAGAAATGGCATCAGAATCATCAAACAAGGAGAGAAGTGATTAGGTCCTGGTTTCATATTGGACATACTGCCATAACCATTCTAAAAAAAGAAGACCATTCTAAAAAAAGAAGATCCTACAGTATTGTTTGGTATGATTTGTTTTATCAACGTCAATGGGTTATTTAATACCAATAAGATTTTTATTACTAATAATATTTTTTCTTTGAAAATGTATTGCTAGCAATATTTTTTTTCTTAAAGAATATGTTGCTAGCAATATTTTTTTCTTAAAAAATGTATTATTGGTAATATTTTTTTCTTAAAAAATATGTTTCTAGCAATATTTTTTTCTTAAAAAATGTATTATTGGTAATATTTTTTTCTTAAAAAATGTGTTGCAATATTTTTTTTCTTAAAAAATGTGTTGTTGGTAATAATTATTTTTTCAAAAATGCATTGCTGGTAATATTTTTTTTTTCAAAAATGTATTGTTGGTAATAATTGTTTCTTCAAAAATTCACTGTCGGTAATAATTTTAGACAAAAATGTATCGATGGCATTAAAATCTATTTTGTGCACAATCATAGTGTTTTGACCCCAGTTTTGGGGGTTACCTATTTGCCTATAGCTGGGACCATAACAGGTGCTACCACCACGGATCAGAGTAAACCTGGGAACACCAGCAATTAAGAGGTGGTTCCACGTTCATCAAAACCTCCTGGTCAGAAGCCTTGTTGTTGGATGTAGTTTATCGTCTTGCCCAGGACACCTCATATGAGATGTGTGGGGGATCTTACACCTATGCAGAGGTGCAGTCGGCGTTCTGTGAAGCCACAGCCGACAGGGCGGCCTTCAGTATGTGTGACAAGCCAAGAGCCAAAAGACATGACACATATTGACAAACTGCAGCAATTTTAATTTTATCCGCTTGGAATTTGTAAAAATATGACGGGCAAAAAGGGTCATTGTCTTTGCATTTATGTTTGACAATGGAGAAAAGAAAATTTTTTGAATTATGAGCTTCGGACTGAAGGTGAATCGGGCAGCAGTATGTGTGGAGGGAAGTGGTGATATCGCTTGTAGCCATTTTTATTAACTGGTTCTGGGTGCTCATTGGCTGAGGCTGAGCGATGGCTGGGTCAATAATAAAAGCATGGTAATTTCATTCAAAAGGAATTTGTTTATGAGGAAAAATTTGAGATTGAGGAACGGATAAAATTGTTGAATTGATTTGCTTATAAAATCTATTGGACTTGTACGTAATTTTTTTATTTTTATTTGTGTCAAGCTTTTGATGGTAAGGAATTCTACACAGTCTTCTAAAATATATTTATGACAGAATCAAAATTACATGAACCAGAAGATAAGAAATTTCTATTAGAAACATAGTCTGAAGACCTAAAATTAATTTTTTTTCATATACAAAGATGATGTAATGGTATAACCCAACACCCCCATGAATGATTACACTATACGTAGTAAGTACCTATAAAGTCGACTGTCTACGAGAGACGGGGTAGACGAGAGAGAGAGAGAGAGAGAGGACGCAAGCACATCCGACTTTCCAATTAGTGGCACTCACTACTAAATTGACCTATGTGCATAACTGTACTGTATTTCATCAAATTAATCAATAATGAAAATACAATAATTTGTTTCTTCTAGTATTCACCTGGTGGTATATGTTTATTCTCTTGGCACGGAATATAACAAAAAGAAAGAACTGAGTTTGGTTGAGTGAATTACGTGACTCGGAAACACGTTTTGAATGTTTTTAAAAAGGGAGTGTTTTGAAGAAAATGTTCCATTATCAATATTTTTACAAAAGGGCCAGATTCGCATGTATGATTTGCAATAGAGTGAGTCGATGGCAAATTGGCGAGCTTTGGACTGAAGGTGAATCGGGCAGCAGTTCGTGTGGACGGGAGTGGTGGTGTCGCTTGTAGCCATTTTTATTGGCTGGTTCCGGGCGCTCCTTGGCTGAGCGATGGCTAGGTCAGGTACATAAAACCAAGGTACGCTTATTTAAAATGGCGTCTTGTTTCTGAGGAGGAGTTGCGTGAGATTGAGGAACGGAGATAACTGCTGATATTTTTAAGTATTCAACCCCAAGCAAGGCGGGAAGCCACTAGCATGCAAGGGGTTACAGACAGAGAGTTGGAGCTAGAGCAAATAGGAATGATAGAGGAAAGGATGAAGAGAAGGATAGGGGATAGATCGGGGCATCTGGAGACGTCCATTGACATTACATTTGAATAGTTGGAGATTATAGCTATCAGGAAAACAAGAAATGGAGAGTGTGTTCCACAGGAAAGAAGTGCGAGACATGAAGCTATTGGAGTAGAAGAGACGGATACATTTAACAGTTTCGACAGTGAAAGGGTGAGAGCGAGATGTCAGCCTAGTTGAGCGCTTAAATTCATGAAGTCTGGGAACCAGCGAAAGCAGCTCATCGAAGCAGTTACCATGAAAGTATTTGTAAAAAAGACAGAGGGAGGCGACGGCATGTCTGTGAGAGAGCGGCTGCAGACGAGATGCCAGATCAGGGCCAATTACATTGCATATCTGTCTTTGGATTTTATCAAGTTCCTTGAGACAAACATAAGGGGCTCCAGACCATATATGGCAGCAATACTCCATGCAAGGGCGAATGGAATTGATTTGACTATTGGACCTATTAGACTTTTACGTAGTTTTTTTTTTTTTTTTATTTGTGTGCGCTTCTGACCAATTCTCACACAGTCTTCTACTTTCCAGTTAGTGACAGATTCAAAATTACATGGAACAGAAGATGAAAAATTGTCAGTTACTAGTTATCCTCTTAATTCCCCTCTCCAAGTTTAACAGTGAATTAACAGGAGATAACTGATATCCATTAGACATGGCACGTGGAACTAGAACAGTCTACCCCAGCAAGCGAAATAAAGAGTACAGTTCGACATTCCAACCACCTGAAGAAGGCCGGAGCCTACAACGGCCGAAACGTTGTGATAAATATTGCAACAAAGATGAGGATAATCGTCCGAGCAATGTAAATAGTGTACATAATACCTCATCTCAGAAATATAGACGGAGAAATGTTTAATAGAAACAAAGTCTGAAAACCTAATAATAATTTTTTTTTATATATATACAAAAGAAAGAACTGAGTCTGGTTGAGTGAATTACATGACTCGGAAACACGTTTTGAATGTTTTTAAAAATGGAGTGTTTTAAAGAAAATGTTCCATTATCATTATTTTTACTTTTAAAGTAGAACTTCATAAATGTGAGTCTAGTTAAAAAAATGACTGTAATTCACAAAGGTGAGTTCAAGAATCATTCTGTATGTCTTTGTCACAGAGACTTACCTCGGCGAGCCAAAAGGGTCAGAGTGACGTGCATGTTTTGCAATAGAGTAAGTAGACGGTAAATTGGCGAACTTCGGACTGAAGGTGAATCGGGCAGCAGTTGGTGTGGGTGGAAGTATTTGTGCTTCTTGTAGCCATTTTTATTGGCTGGTTTCGGGCGCTCATTGGCTGAGCGATGGCTGGGTCAGGTGCATAAAACCAAGGTACGATCATTTAAAAGGGAAGGCTTCTTTCTGAGGAGGAGTTACGTACTTGAGATTGAGGAACGGAGGTACTTGGGGAATTGATTTGCTTATTGGGACTTGTGTATAGTGTTTTTTTTTCTTTGTTTTTCTGACCAATTATCTCACAAGATTCTATCAAACAAGAAATAAATATAATTTAAAAATATATGCATAACCAACTATTAAAAAACTGGACTCTTTAATTACAAGGCTTTATTTATGAAAAATATCAACTTTCAGCATTACAAGACAAAAGCTATCTATCAGAGACATTATCTTTTTTTTTTTTACTAAAAGGAGCATATTTTCGTTGGGTGTTATTTAATGCTTGAAATCTGGATTAGTATACAATCATATAGTATATATATATATATATATATATATATATATATATATATATATATATATATATATATGTATGTATATATATATATATATATATATATATATATATATCGAATTATATACTAAATCCATTTTTATTAAAAATATTGCAATTTGCTGAATTATGTAGATATAGATTGTACAGTGTCCAAAGAAAAGTTTTTAGCCAGGAGAAATAAACTACATCCAATTTCAAAATTTAATTACGTAATCCCTATTCAACATAAATAAACCGTATTTGGAACTAGTATGGAGTAGGTCCTCCATTTGCTAGTTTCAGTACTTGTATTCGATTTTTCATGGATTTGACCAAGTTATCAACAATCGACTGATCCATATTTTGCCACTTCTTTACCAATGTCTTTTTAAGGGTTGCCACTGACGTGATTTTGGTTACACGCTCTCGAAGTCTTCGTTCAAAGTGCTCCCAAACGTGCTCTATTGGATCCATGTCAGGAATTTGGGCTACCCATGGCATAGACTTGATTCCTCGCGATTCCTTTCAGGTCTTTGCTACTTTGCTCGTATGACATGGCGCTCCATCTTCTTGAAAAAGGTTGACATTCTTGTCAATCTGATGGGTTTCAAATAGTGGGAGTAGTTTTTTCTCTAATATATGGCAGTATTTTGGACCATTCAACCGCTCGTCAACAAGAATCAGCTCAGATTTCCGATCAAACTAGACAGCGCCCCACACCATTACTCCAATCCCCACCCCCATGTTTTACAGTCGCCTGCAGATATTCAGATTTTTTCAAACATAAACTAATGTCGAATTCGAATATTGACAGAATTTACTTTCATCTGACCAAATTACCAACTGCCAAAATTCATATCTTTGCTCTCGAATTCTCTTCCCCAGTCCATAACATGTTCCTGTTAAACTCTGAAATTAAGGGCTTCTTTCTTGCAACTCTTCTTTGATAGCCTAGCTCTTTCAGTCTTTCTCACCGCATATGGCGACATTTCTATGCTGTTGACGACATCTTTGACACTCTGAAGACGGTTTCTGATGACTTCCCTATTCAGTGCCCTTTTCGTTCACTCAGACACGATGCTTGGTCTTCCTGAACGTTGTTCCACACGACAATGGCCTTCTTCATTAAATTTCTTGACAATAATATTAACCGTTTGATGATTAACCTGGAAAAACCTAGCAATTTCTCTATTTGACTTGCCACACTGATGCCATCCTATTATTTGACCTTGTTGAAATTCACCAATTTCCTTACTTACATGAACTTTCATTGAAAGATATAAGCCAACTATTGTTCATAGATGATAGTAGCTTGATACTAACACGATCGCCTGCAGACATTCAGTGTTTCAAGTTTCATTCTGATTTTTTCTGAAAAAAGACGTTATTAAACAAGGCAAAATTGCTATAATCAAGGGTGGCTAAAAGCTTATCGTAGCCTACTGTACATTTCACCCCAAGCTAGCACGCAGGGGGTTACAGAGAATGGGAGCAAAATAAAGATGCGTGATAGAGGAAAGGATGAAGAGAAGAACGGGGAATAAATCCAGGCATCTGGAGATGTCGATTGACATTGCATTTGAATGTTTGGAGATTATAGCTATCGGGGAAGCAAGTAAGAGAAAGGGACTTCCACAGACGGGAAGTGCGAGACATGAAGCTATTGGAGTAGAAGTGACGGCTACATTTAACAGTTTCATCAGTGAAAGGGTGGGACCGAGATGCCAACCTAGTAGCACGTTCAAATTCATGAAGTCTAGGAACCAGCGAAAGTAGCTTGTCGTAGCAGTTACCGTGAAAGTATTTGTAGAAAAGACGGAGAGAACCGACGGCACGTCTGTGAGTGAGCAACTGTAGACGAGATGCCAGATCAGGGCCAATCACATTGCATATCCGTCTCTGGATCTTGTCAAGGACCTTAAGACGAACAGCGGGGGGCTCCAGACCATATATGGCAGCAGTATTCCATGCAAGGGCGGATGGTTGATTTATAGAATTGAAGGATGGACTTTCATTTTAATAAAAGTGAGCGTGCAGATAAAAAGGGACCACTATTGAACGAAATTATAAACAGAGACAAAAACACCTCATATACAGCGTAACCCGGATATAAGAGAGTTGTCGGGACCGGAGAAGAAGTCTCTTATATCTGGGTTTCTCTTATATCCGGGTTTGGTCTATTTTATATACATTAACACAGGCTCTAATTTTGGGACCAGAGAAAATCTCTCTTATATCCGGGTTTCTCTTATATCCGGGTCTCTTATATCCGGGTTACACTGTATCTGTAATCTGTGTGGAAATATTGAAATCTCCCCCAGAGAAACATGTACGAAGAGATGGAAAAACAACGCACTAATCCTATAGAAAGAAGTCAGTAAATAATAAGACATAGAACAACATTCTATAGCTTTAATCTGCGTGGAAACTATAAAATCCGGTATAGCTAATCCTGTATGGAGTGTAAAAAAGTTAATATAATAATCCTATGAAATTTAGTCAAGAATATATATACAACAACATCTTATAGTTTTAATCTGTGGGTAAACTTGAAAATATCATACCTGCATAAGATTGAATGAGGCCAAAATTTCCTTCTTTGCGCCAAATCTTCATTCCTTTCTTCAACAATATGCATTTATTTTTATCTGCCTTCATCATGTATAGGGAGTAAGCAAGCAGTATATTATTCCTAGAGAGTGCCGTGAAAGACATTAACATTGTACAACATTGTATAGCTTTAATTTGTGAGGTAACTTTGAAATCAAGCATGGAAGATCATGTATACAGAAAGCAAGAAAATTTCCAGGATAAAATGAAAATAATAGACAGCAACTGACACAAAATAGACACAAACAATCAAATCGATGAAATAGACGTTCCTGTTCGAAATTTACAGAAGATTGCTGAATGATAAACAACTGAGGGAATCCGGGCGACACAACAGGAGAATTGCGGGTATATAAACAATAGAGATGAGGAAATTGTTATGAACGAATTAGTGAATTGGAACAAATCTGTTTTTGAGAAAATTCAGACCCTGGATGAGTATATCATGTCCACTACCATAGAGGGAAGCCAGCTCATCATAGAGAAGAAGTGACGGTTACAAAGGTTTTGTTGGACATTTGCAGAAGGTCACTGAATGCAACAGATACATGAAGAAGCCAAACACTGAAATGATCTGATCAATGCAGCCAAAATAATATTTTTAGAATTCATATATACGGTTTGCAGTGGTTTGAATATGAATCTATTTTCAGGGTTTGTGATAAAATTTGTTTGGCCTTGAAAAATAATGCGTCATCCGTGATTGCGTCAGATCTTTATCACGCCCAGACACTATTGTCTCGACTGTCGATTAGTTGTCCTATCGCCATTGTCTGCGATGAACGTTACCTCAAGTAATCGTACGGAAATTTTTAAGGCTGCACGAACACACTGGCAACTGGCAAACCTTAGTAATGAGCAAATCAAAGTATTAGACTGACCCAGAAACTCTTAAATCCAATCGAGAATCTGGAGTCAATCTTCAAAGAAGGATTCGAATAGACATAAGAAGTACTAGCAAGTGAACTGGGTCATGTTTCATTGGAAAAATACGAAAAAATAATAACAGAATTATTCTTTTTGTTTCAATTAATTTGCATAAGGGTGTAGGAGCAAGGGGTAGAACAGACCAAACTGTTTCAATTCACCTTTTCTCAGGTGTTATTCTTGCTGCAGGCGACCTTTCGTTCTCAGGGAGGAGAACCACATTTATCCTATCGATGAGTGCAGGACAATTTGCGATCAAACTTTTGTGGACTTGCAAACGTGCATTTAGCATTATTTACATTGGCCTTTCAGTATCTCTCTATATTTTCTGAGATAAAGTATTATGTACACTATTTACATTATTCGGACTATTGTCCTCACCTTTGTCGCCATGTTTATTACAACATTTCGGCCGTTGTACGTTCCGGCTTTCTTCTGGTGGTTGGAATGTCGAACTGAACCCTTTATTTCGCTCACTGGGGTAGACTGTTCTAGTTCCACGTGCCATGTTTAATGGATGTCAGTTATCAGATATCTCCTGTTAATTTTCCTCTGAAAGTTCTCCACTGTCTTAACCGGGTATTGAACTCACACTCTTAGGATCCTGTCACTGAATCTAACCAACGCCTTTATCCACTGTGTCATGTGTCCTTGAAAATAATGTACATAATACCTCATCCCAGAAATATAGACAGGTGCATTTAGCATTTTAATGCGTTTTAAGAACTTTAAATAAATTATACTCAAACGATTGCATAGTATAGAAAATATTTTTTTTTTTTATTTACCTGGAGCTCAGCTTTATTGGCGGGGGTGTGTGAAGATTCACCCTTGTTAATCCATTGCCTATTGTATTGAACATTGTCATGTTAATCTGCTTACGTTTTTCATTTTAACTGTCTTATATGATTAGCGGTTAAATTGGTATATTCGTCATGAGAACTGGTTCTCCAAAACGGAAGTTCTCCTTGCCTACCATTAGAATGTCTGATGCTCAAATCCACGAGAGCATCTCTCTGCGCCTGCTTGATCTCACACTGTCCTCTGACCTGAGATGGAACAAATTCATTGAATCAATCGAATCATCTACCGCGAAGAAAGTTAGTTCTATGTGTCGCGCCAGAAAGTCTTTCTGACTTGAGTCCATCCTTCAAATCTATAAATCGACCATTCGCCCTTGCATGGAATACTGCTGCCATATATGGTCTGGATCCCCCGCGGTTAGTCTCAAGGTCCTCGACAAAATCCAGAGACGGATATGCAATGTGATTGGTCCTGATCTGGCATCTCGTCTACAGTCACTTTCTCAGAGACGTGCCGTCGCTTCCCTCTGTCTTTTCTACAAATACTTTTCACAGTAACTGCTCCGATGAGATACTTCAACTGGTTCCCAAACTGCGGGAATTTCAGCGTGTTACTAGGTTGGCATCTCGGTCCCACCCTTTCACTGTCGAAACTGTTAAATGTAGGCGTCTCTTCTACTCTAATAGCTTCATGTCTCGCACTTCTCATCTGTGGAAATCCCTTCCTTTTACTTTCTTTTCTGATAGCTATAATCACCAACTGTTCAAATGCAATGTCAATCGATATCTTCAGATGTCTTGATCTAATTCCCCGTCTTTCTCTTCATCCTTTACCCTTTCACGCCTCTTTACTCTTGCTCTCAATCTCTTGTGTGTGAGTGGCACTCCTGCCTTGCATTGGATGAAATGCTTAAAAAAAATTTGATTGAACCTAATAGAACTGAATTTATCAAATAGAATCGAAAAACTGATGAAGAATATGTGTACAACGGTCTGAAGAAAAACTGATGAAGAATATGTGTACAACGGTCTGAAGAAAAACTGATGAAGAATATGTGTACAACGGTCTGAAGAAAAACTGATGAAGAATATGTGTACAACGGTCTGAAGAAAAACTGATGAAGAATATGTGATGAAGAAATGTGTCTGAAGAAAAACTGATGAAGAATATGTGTACAACGGTCTGAAGAAAAACTGATGAAGAATATGTGTACAACGGTCTGAATAAAAACAAGAAACTTGTTTACTGCTAAGTTAGAAAGCATCTATGAATTTATCAAGAGTTATTGTGGAGTTTGTATTTTTTCTTTCTTTCATTTAAGGCTGTGTTAGACGGCAGATAGTTTCAAAACACCAACGAATCATACAGCAAAGCAATTATAAATTCTTGCCGTGTCAAGTAGTGTTTTAATCTCTGGTGATTGTACACTTTCGTGTATAATCGAAAAATGAAAATTTAAAAAAAATGTGTATTATTACAATTTTCTAAAAATTTCAATAAAATTTCTCATTTCGTGTTTATAATTTCAATTGTTTTTTTTTTTTTTTTTTTTGTTTTTTCACAGCATCGATTGTCAGGTATCGACCTTCATTGATCAATATTGCAATATTTAGAGGTTTATCGCGACTTGATGGGCAAAAATTAATAATTCTAGACTAACGTATTCTCAACAAATTGTGTTTTATTTTAAATTTTTTTTATTCTAAGTCGTTTACAATCATATACGAGAAGCTGCTAAAAAGCTTTCGGCCTGTTCAAGAAACCTTTCATAAAATTCTGATGGTTGGTCATTTAGTAAGATTCTGGGAAATGAGTTGGACTGATAAATTTTCAGCAACTTCTCGTATTTATTTTTTAACTTTTTTTTTCCTGAAATATAATTGTTTTTTTTGGTTTTTTTTTTGGTTTTTTTACCATGAAACAATTTGTCGGTTGTTTGGGGTATTTTGTTATTAATGTTGGACTGTTTTATTCTTTGTAAATTTTTTTGATTCGCAAATTGATTTTGGAAAACTGTTTTTCACTTCAACAAGTCAACAAATCAGTGTTAAAAAATATTGATTATTGATTTTGTTTTAGGGGTTGTTAAGACGACTACCTGCGCAGTTGACCTGGCTGAATATCCATAAGCGATTTTACCAATACCTGTGCATTACATCCTCACTTTACATTCATCATGAATTATCTTTCTTTTACCTTCTTTCTTTCTTAATTTCTTTCTTTCTTTCTTTCTTTCTTTCTTCATTCATTTTATTCTTTATATATTCTCTATCAATCGATTCTTTATTTTTGTTTTTTGTGATCAATTCCGTCTTTCTTTCTTTCTTTCTTTTCTTTTTCTTCATAGTTTTTATTCATTTTTATATATTTCTATTCGATTCTTTCTTTTCCTTGTTTTTTGGGATCAATCGTCTTTCTTTCTTTTTTCTTTTTCTTTCTTTCTTTCTTCATTCATTTTTATTCTTTATATATTCTCTATCCAATCGATTCTTTTATTTCCTTGTTTTTTGTGATCAATTTCTTTCTTTCTTTCTTTCTTTCTTTCTTCATTCATTTTATTCTTTATATATTCTCTATCAATCGATTCTTTCTTTTCCTTGTCTTTTTTTGATCAATTCCGTCTTTCTTTCTTTTTTCTTTTTCTTTCTTTTCTTTTCTTTCTTTCTTTCTTTCTTTTTTATTCTTTATATTCTCTATCCAATATTCTTTCTTTTCTTATCCGTCTTCTTTCTTTCTTTTTTTTTTTTCTTTCTTTCTTTTTTTGATCAATTTCATTTTCTTTATATATTCTCTTCTTTCTTTCCTTTCTTTTTTCAATTTCTTTCTTTTTCTTTCTTTTCTTTCTTCATTTTTATTCATTTATATATTCTTTATCCAATCGATTCTTTTTTTTCCTTGTCTTTTTGTGATCAATTCCTTTCTTTCTTTCTTTCTTTCTTTTCTTTCTTTCTTTCTTCATTCATTTATTCTTTTATATTCTCTATTCGATTCTTTTTTTTCCTTTTTTTTTTCAATTCCGTTTTTTCTTTCTTTCTTCCTTTCTTTCTTTCTTTCTTTCTTTTTCATTTTTATTCTTTTATATTCTCTATCAATCGATTCTTTTTTTTCTTGTTTTTTTGGGATCAATTCCGTTTTTCTTTTTTCTTTCTTCCTTTCTTTTTTTCTTTCTTCATTCATTTTATTCTTTATATATTCTCTATCCAATCGATTCTTTCTTTTCCTTGTCTTTTTTTTGATCAATTCCGTCTTTCTTTCTTTTCTTTCTTTCTTTCTTTTCTTTCTTCATTCATTTTATTCTTTATTTATTCTCTATCAATCGATTCTTTCTTTTCCTTTTTTCTTTCTTCTTTCTTTCTTTCTTTATTTTTCTTTCTTTCTTTTTCTTTCTTTCTTCATTCATTTTATTCTTTATATATTCTCTTCCAATCGATTCTTTCTTTTCCTTGTCTTTTTGTGATCAATCCGTCTTTCTTTCTTTCTTTCTTTCTTTTCTTTTCTTTATTTCTTATCCTTCATTCTTTTTTTTTCTTTTTCTATTCTCTATCAATCGATTCTTTCTTTTCCTTCTTTTTTTTATCAATTTCCAATCGATTCTTTTTTTTCCTTTCTTTTTCTTTCTTTCTTTCTTTCTTTCTTTCTTTCTTTCTTCATTTTTATTCTTTATATATTCTCTATCCAATCGATTCTTTCTTTTCCTTGTCTTTTTGTGATCAATTCTTTCTTTCTTTCTTTCTTTCTTTCTTTCTTTCTTCATTCATTTTATTCTTTATATATTCTCTATCCAAACGATTCTTTTTTTTCCTTGTCTTTTTGTGATCAATTCCGTCTTTCTTTCTTTTCATTTTTTCTTTCTTTCTTTCTTTTTCTTTCTTTTTTTCTTTCATTCATTTTTTTTCTTTTATATTCTCTATCCAATCGATTCTTTCTTTTCCTTGTCTTTTTGTGATTCAATTCCGTCTTTCTTTTCTTTCTTTTTTTTTTCTTTTTCTTTCTTTCATTCATTCATTTTATTCTTTATATATTCTCTATCCAATCGATTCTTTTTTTTTCCTTGTCTTTTTTGTGATCAAATTCTTTTCTTTCTTTCTTTCTTTCTTTCTTTCTTTCTTCATTCATTTTATTCTTTATATATTCTCTATCCAATCGATTCTTTCTTTTCCTTGTCTTTTTGTGATCAATTCCGTCTTTCTTTCTTTCTTTCTTTCTTTCTTTCTTTCTTCATTCATTTTATTCTTTATATATTCTCTATCCAATCGATTCTTTCTTTTCCTTGTCTTTTTGTGATCAATTCCGTCTTTCTTTCTTTCTTTCTTTCTTTCTTTTTCTTTCTTCATTCATTTTATTCTTTATATATTCTCTATCCAATCGATTCTTTCTTTTCCTTGTCTTTTTGTGATCAATTCCGTCTTTCTTTCTTTTCTTTCTTTCTTTCTTTCTTTCTTTCTTTCTTTCTTCATTCATTTTATTCTTTATATATTCTCTATCCAATC